TGATCAAAGAAACTGTTTCTCATTCTAAAATATTCCATTTCTACAACCTTGCATTTTAATTTTGAAAATATTAATAATTTGGGAATCAGTCTAGTGAATTTTTTCCATAAGAAATATGTATGCAGATTTCAATTCAATCTGTCACCAGATTATATTTTCCAGATTATTGTATATACTATTAACTATGAGAAGCACATGTGTTTTCAACATAATTTCAGCAAAATTTACATTCTGTGAGGTTTTTATACTTGGGAGAAAAACTTGTAAATGTTATATGCCAATATTCACTTTTATGGAATTCTGAATGCTAATTTGAGAGTCAAGAATACCAACATGATATAGTCCACAACAGCAATAAAACTCTTAGAGAGTAATCAGTATTAGAACTTAGAATAGCTAGTAGGAAGGGAAAAATGAGGAGGGGGAATCGGAGGGGGAGATGAACCATGAGAGACTATGGACTCTGAGAAACAAACTGAGGGTTCTAGAGGGGAGGAGGTGGGGGATGGGTTAGCCTGGTGATGGGTATTAGGGAGGGCACGTACTGAATGGAGCACTGGGTGTTATACGCAAACAATGAATCATGGAACACTACATCAAAAACTAATGATATAATGTATGGTGATTGACGTAATAAAATAAAATTAAAAAAAGAAGTTAGAATAGCTTAGAGGCTTTTTCTATGATGGGGAATAAACAAAGAGCAAAAGGAAGCACAGTCTTTCTACTTTTGAGGAAGAAAAAATGCAACTTAGACATTGACTATTTCTGACCTCCTTTCTCTTACTCTTGGAATGTTAATTATGTTTGAAAGTTGGAGTTCATGGCCCAGCTGGACCAAAAAAAAAAAAGTTTACTTCTCTTTGAGTTTAATTCCCTCTCTTTATTTAAAGCCCCCAAGGCTCCCATTTTATGTCTATGATTCCTTATTACTTCTGCATTCTTACCTTCTCTTTCTATATGCTTAAGTGCTATCTTATTACACAAGGGTACCCAAGATATACAGGAGGGAATCATTAGTTTTATAAAAGGAGTCACAGTGAAAAAGGAATTCAATGTAACACATTTGGCTTTAAGTATACATGCCTTTCAGAGTAAAGTTTTATTAAGGATTTCAAACTAGGCATCAACCCAATCATACTTGAAATATCTGTGTCTAGAGAACTAATAATCACTTCAGCAGCCCCTATAATTCTTAGCACCCTGACACTGAGGAGTTCCTTAAAGACAAGCATTGTATCCCGACACACCTAGAGGTTCTGCATTTTACCTCAGCCTTGCAAATTGTAGACATTATCTGCTTATTAAAGATCAACGCTTGCCTTGTTAAAAGCTAGTAGCCCCTCAGCTCTTTTCTTCATTAATAAAGATTAATAGAAAATGGATAGGAGTATGCCCCTTCAAACCTCCGCGTCTATTTTCCATTGAGCAGGTAGGGGTAAATAGAGTCTATTTGCCAATCAGTAGGAAGGCTTTTTGCTCAGGGATCCAAAGCATTTGCTGAAAACCACAAAGGTTGGGGATTTCCTCACATAAGGAAAGTCTGCAGCTTCCATTTCCCATGTCTAACTAAATAGGACAACTCAAGTTATGTGCCTCGGCACTGTATTTAAACGTTTGCATCCCAGCTCCCACATATGCAAAACAAGAGGGTTGAACAAAAATCTCATGAGATTCCTTCCAGCCCTAAGGGCCTATGATAAGACCAGGAGGGGGAAAAATAAAAGAGTCATTACAAATAGAAAGAAACATTTTCCCGAGAGACATTCCCAATACAAACATAGGTTAATCATTTAGAAATATTTGGTATAAGATCTTGAAAATCAAAATAGGGCAGCTCCTTCCAACAACTGCATTAGAAATGTGTCTTGAAGACACTTCACAAGCTTAGCGTAGCCAAGGAAAATGTTTTCTGAGCTCTTGGTGTTTTATTACATTTAGATCGCCTTCAAAATCATGTCCTTGACAAATGCCACCTTTGCCCTGTGGAGACCGACCAGTGATGTTTAGGGCATACAGGAAATACTTCAAGAAATTATTTCTTAAAGAACTGTCCTGGAGTTCCCCTGCTGAGTTGTGAGGGTTCTTGTTAAAAGTACAGGAAGCCTGGAGGCAGAACCTGGTAGTCTGTACCTAACACAAGCCATTCGCAGGGTTCTTATGTCCCCTGAAGTTTGAGAACCAGGGCTTCAGATTGCATATCTTTGCAAGTGTGGGTTTCAATCAGGAGCCATTATCTGGCTGCCTTTTTCCTCTCCCGCCCTTACCCAGTATCCCTTGTCCTTTGTGAGCCTTTTGCTTCCATTCTTGTCACCACTCTCATACGTTAGCAAGGAAAAGAAACAGTCATTTGATACGGAGTTAAGGTGATCAAACATTCTGAAATGTCGCCTAACTCCATACTGTAGGTCCATGAGAGCCTTTTGTCACCTGAGGTCCCGGGTCCTCCTTCTGCTCTTCTATTAGCTCTCTGGACTGTCCTGCCTCCCTGGCTCTTAACAATCTCCCTGTCTCCTGCCCTGAAGTTTCTCTCAGATCCTTTAGAACCAAATTCCCTGGGTCTCAGAGCCATGTTTTCCTCTTGGGGACGCAAAGGGTTTCATTGACCCGGTAATGATTAGTCAACCCCATTTTATCTGGAGCCAGGGTTGTAGTAGTGCCTTGTGTGAGTGAAGCTGCAGCTGGATGCCTCACCGTGGGCAGCCTGCCTTTCGGCATCTTTATCCTCCTCCAGACCTCTCCACCACAGGCCTATTTTGTTTCTTCCACCAGAGAGAGGGAGGCCAAGCATTAGGCATCTATGCATTCTTCCTTACCTTTCACTCTCTCTACTCCCAAGGCCTCATGGGGACGTAGCGGCGCTCAAAGGTTCTTTATTTATCCCAAGCCTCTTCTCCCATGCACTGCTTATCCACATCTGGACCGTGCCTCTCTGCCTACCTTCCCACACGCCCCGCTTGACATCCTCACTCACCCTCGAGGGGACCACGCTGCAAATTCCAGACACCCCAGGGAATCCCTGTAACCAGTAGGCATTACGTGCCATTAAACAGCTAACATCTTGCATAGGGAATTCTCACTGGGGCTTATCATGGAAGAGCGATAAGTGAAAGAGAGAGGAAACAGAAGCAGCCAAGAAGGGACCTCTACTCTCTATGTGGTCTGTGCTGTTATACTGAAGTTGTGGTATGGTATTTCCAGATTCCTTTATTAGATAATAATGCCTGTAGAGTCTTGAACAGTTTAATTCCTCTGATGGAAATGCCTTCCGTTTTTCTGGACATAACGTTTGTATCGCTCATAATAGAAAGACAGTTCTGACCATTTGGAATAGAAAGCCGAAGGAATAAATCAGCTCTAAATCTACCTGTGAGGGCTACACTAGTTGTCATTTCAGAATCTTTTTGTACAGAGTCAAGTGTGTGCACACAAATATACACACATACATGAACATTTTAGAAAAATAGATTGTAGACATTTTTGGAACCTGTTTTCTCACTTAGCAACTGACAGGGCAATCTCTTCCATACCCCTAAATATTTGCTGATGCCATCACATTGAACAGTGCATAGGATTCATAGGATTTGAACCTTGCATTGTATGAATTCACCATTATATATGTAACTGATTCCCTAATATGGCATATTTAAGTTGTTTCTACTTTGTGTCAATCATAAGTGATGCTATAAATAACATTTTTCTACCTACATCTTTGTATGATTTTTCCAGTTACTTCCTTAATATAAATTTTTTGAATTTAAGCTTATGGGTCATCGCATTTGCACATTTTAAAGACTTGGAAGTATCATGCATCAGAAAGAAAATGATCCCTCGGAAAGTTTGGAACAATTTAATTCCGGCACATAGGCTCTATTTGGCGATTCTGTTTGACTAAGACCAGCTGGAGAATCGTATTTGAAATGTCAGGCTAAGTTACCCAACAGCAAAGGGAAATGTTGTTCTACCTGGGTGCTTTGCACTTCAGTCTTTGCAGCACTAGAGACTATATTATATTTATGCTCTAGGCAGCATTAAGTTTTATGAATTAATTAGTAATTGCTGATAATATGTAAGTAATGCAGCATAATTCTTGATTTACCTGAGGATAGAGCTTTGCTAACATTCCACGTTTCTTCTTCGTTTTCCGGATGATGATTTATTTGGCTAATTTAGCTTCTCATCCTCAAGTGAAATGTGGATTTTATAGCACAGATCATTCATTTGTATATTCTTAAATGGCTTCTATGGATTAACATGTTCTAAATACACTTGATGGTGAAGCACTCATTCTCCTGCCTAAATTATTCATGTTTGGGGGAAGCTTTCAGGCAAATGTCTGATTTTACTTTTCCACGTGAGTTGTTGTCTCGGTGCATTTTACACAAAGGAAACAAAGCGGAAAATGTTGGGACTTGGTGAAAACAAATCCCAGGTGCACACGAATAAAGAAGGGTAGAGGAAAAGAGAAGCATATGGGAAGAAGAGCAGAAAGGAACAGATGCCAGATGGAAGGAGTCAATGGAAGAGGCTGCCCAGAGTGCAGAAATGGAAAAGTCAAAATGTGGGGGGAGACCTTTCCATTTCTCAAAGCAGGAAGAATTCCAGCACTAGCATGAGTCACTTGAAAACTGAGTGGTTTATATTAGTCACCGGGAGCCATTTTTTTCTACCAGAAACATTAAGAATCATTGACTGCAACACTGTGGAAAAGCAATCCATTCCAGTGTATGTTTCATGCCAAAAGTCTCACAATTCTGCATGAGGAAACACACATATGGCTAAACACTGTCTACCCTCAAAACTGCCATCAAAACGCCCCCGCCCCCATTATATGGCTCGCAAGAGCAGACAGCTACATTTTTACCGAGGACTGCTAGACGGTTCATGATAGGTTTGTCTACTGTGGAACAAACCAAACCAACGTACCTTCAGTGGGATTGTTAGACTCATTAATCACCCTTCTAGATATTTTGACCTAGTTTGCTCGTGCTGCTTTTCAGGTCTCATTTGGAAGCCAGTTCTGACCAGTGGAAGCGTCTGCACCTTTCTCTTCAGGAACTTCTGGTATGGCTCCAGCTGAAAGATGATGAGTTAAGCCGGCAGGCACCCATCGGAGGCGACTTTCCAGCAGTTCAGAAGCAGAATGATGTGCACAGGGTAGGACATTTTTAAAACGAGTGCCTTGCACAGAGCAAATTTTTTAGTGACAGTTTTGAAATGTGTTTTGATTGAAATTAAGTTGACTAGAAATCTTCACTCCACTAGTCCAGGGGTCATAGATAAATAATCCAAGCCATTGTTATTTTATTTTTTTTAAGATTTATTTACTTATTTATCTGACAGAGAGACAGCGAGAGAGGGAACATGAGCAGGGGGAGTGGGAGAGGGAGAAGCAGGCTCCCCACTGAGCCGGGAGCCTGATGCAGGGCTCGATCCCAGGACCCTGGATCACGACCCGAGCTGAAGGCAGATGCTTAATGACTGAGCCGCCCAGGTGCCCCCAAGCCATTGTTATTTTAAATGTCAAAAGCATCCGCATTAATAATATCCTCTAAGAAGTCACCCTTCTCTTTTAATGATTTTTAAAGACATTTTATTATGGTAAATATAAAACATACACCAAATCGGACAGAATCCTATAGTAAACAGCCATGTACCCATCAGGACTTCAACAATTATCAGCTCATGGCCAATCTTACTTCTCCTAGACCTCTACCGGTCCTCTATAATTTTGAAATAAATATCAGGCATGGATCATTTAATTCACAGATAATTGAGAAAGTATCTCAAAAGATAAAGATCCACTCTTTCAAAGTGACCACATGGTTACTATAGCGCTTTTTAAATGTCAATAATTTTATTCTAACAAATATCCCAGCACTTTTAACATACATGTCTTAAATGTTTTAACATTTTTTTTGTTTAAATAAGAATTGAAATAAGGTTCTCATGTTGCATTTGGTTAATTTGTCTCTTAAATACATTTTTAAAGACTTTTATTTTAAAATAATTACAGAGGCACAGTGAGTTGCAAAAATCGTACAGTTTCCCTATATGTTTCATCCGGTTTGCTCTAATGATTACATCTTAGGTAACTATCGGACCATAATATATATTGTCATTTCAACAGACGCTGTAAAAAGGTACAGTTAACAGCGCAGCTCAATTCAGACTGGCCACATTTCAAGCACACAGTAGCACAATGTGCCTCCTGGCTGCCATATTGAACAGTACAGTTCAACAGGTGTGATCATATTTGGGTTTGACTTTTTTGGTAAGACTGCTTCGTAGATGGTTGTGTATTCTTCCATCATCAGGAGGTGTATCATGTCTTGTTTTCTCTTTTGCATGTGTGATTTTGGCAGCTGTTCATGATCAATGACTAGGGGTTGCAATGTGATCATTGCCTATTTCTATCATTTCATCTTCATTTATTAGCCAGAGTACTTCTGTGAGGGAAAAAAAAAAAGTCATTTATCCCCTCTTTGGGGACCAAGTATACAGTTCGTATATGATAGGCAGGATACTTTTCCAGCCTTCAGAATAACAAGTTGTTCACTAGCATCCTCTAACAGTGATCAATTCTCTCTCTCTCTCGCTCTTTCTTATGTTTCTGTTTTCTCTATTAGGCTCTGAGTGGGGAAGTCAGAGATTTGGTCTTGCTCACCTCCAAGACCGTAGTACCTAGCAAAGTGTCTGGCATACACTGGATACTGATAAGTGTTTTTGAAATGAGAATAAAAGGCACAAGAACAGAAATCAATAGCAAACCAAGGAAATGACTAACAAACTACAAAAGTTTGATAAAATGGTAACACTTTTATATGTTCAACACTTAAAGATCTCTGTGGAGACACAGCCAAAGGTGGCATCTTGAAGAGAAGTCAAGGGTTTATATTATTCCAGAGAAGAGGATATAGAAGATTACTCAAAGGGAAGAGAACATGAGGGAAGATCTAGGAGTCTCTGAAAAAAAATTGCCGAGGAAACTGACAGTTTCTTCTTTAGCCATTCCCCTTCATAAAATCGGAATGTTAAATTAGCTCTGTGGTAAGGTGGAATATAATAGTGACATTTTTTAAATGTTCTAACTTTGAATAAATAGTCAAAACACTCTGGTGTATGTGTAGAAGAGCATTCATTGAGACAGAAGGGCATTTTAAATAGAATGCATTATATGATATAAAGAAATGAGACAGAATGTCTACAAAAGGTGTAATTTTAGTCTAATTCTAGAAACCAAAGATGAATCATTGAACGAGTGCACTGGAAGTCAGGAGAGACTGTAGTCACATTCCTCCATAAATTAGATTGTGCTTGCTACTTTGTTCTTCAGCTGTGAAGATGAGGAATTCGGTCCAAATAATTTTCACAGTCCCTACTAGCCAGCATCTTTTCATAAATAGTCCCTCAGTATCCCTGGTTATTGGCTTTTGTTACTTGCTAGCAGTGGTAAAATGTTAGGACTTATTCTCAGTCCTTTTACGGAGGAATCCCATGACCAGTAACATGCTTTTGGGAGATGGTGATGCTAGAGTTACGGGTCACGTGCACCAGATTGAAATGAATTAAGCCCCACTTGACTAGTGGGCTTGTTCAGATCCCCATCTGCTTGTTACCCTTCTTTGACTTCTCAGGACTTTGACTACCCTTCTTTGACTCTGTGTTCTATACGTTAGTTCCACTGCTCCTCTATCTTCGCCTCCCTCCAAATCCAACTTAGATTCAATCATAAAACATTTTAATAATTCTTTCCCAAGACCCTAAGATCCTGTGCTTTATTATCTTTTTGTGGCTGCCATCTGCAAAACCCCAAAGCTTTGAAGATCTAACTAAATACTCTCCCCTGTCCAAACAACAATGGAGCAGACCAGTATGGTCACCTTTTCAGGATGACAAACCAAGCCTTCCCTTGACGAGCCCAATACATCACTGGGTCAGTTTGCCTCCAAAATAGTTCCTGACTCTGTCTACTGCAGTTGTCACCATAGTTACAGAAGACCATTTCTCCTAACCTTTCTGTGTCTACTCTTGCCACCCTACTGTGCCGTCTTTACATTTCAGCCAGAGTAATTTATGTAAAAACGTACATTGAATTACGTCAGTCCTTATCTTAGCGCTCTTCAGTGGCTTCTCCATTCTGTAGAGAAAAGACCAAACTCCTCAGCAAGGGCCCCAACCTTCTCTTTTCCCACCACTCTTCCTCTTGCCCTCTGGTCACTAGCCATGCCGCCTTCTTTTGGTTTCTGCAGTTCTCTGCATTCTTCTCATTTGGCGCTTGGAACATGCTGGTCCTCTCTCTGAAGCCCCTTCCACCTACATACACCCCTTCATAATTTCCTGGCTAACATCTGATAATCTTTTACACCTTGGCTCAGACATCAAGCAAGCTTTTCCCTGCTGCCCACATTTGACCCTATCTTCCTCTACGTGCTCTCATACACAGTCTACTTTTCCTTCTGCAGCTTAACATTCTTTGTCATCACATATATGTGTAAATCTTTGATTCATGTCAATCACCTTCGCTAAACCATGTGCTCCAAGAAGCCTTCTTTTGGGGAGGGGGTTGTCACTTATGAAGTCCGTAGTACGGGGTGGACACTAAATAGGTAAAGAAACAAAGGAATTGGGTGCCTGGGTGGCTCAGTTGGTTGGGTGACTGCCTTCGGCTCAGGTCATGATCCTGGAGTCCCGGGATCGAGTCCCGCATCGGGCTCCCTGCTC